AGAGAAAAGCTTTCATAATTTCACTTAGTTTGTTCGCTTAGTTTTCCATTTCTTTATTCAATGCATACCACAGTCCAACCTCTGTACCAAAGTATTAGAACATTAGTATACAATGGTAAACAAAGCAGACAAAATCCCTCCTCTTACTGAGCACGCAGTGGAGACAGAAATTAACAAAATAAAGCAGATAAATATGTAATTAAAAAATGGAATCTGTGCTATAAAGGAAAAAAATAGGGCAGGAAAAATAACAGAGGTTACACAATTTAGATCATAGGATAAGAGAGGACTTCTCTGAGGAGACGTTTCAACTAAAACCTTAAAGATGGTGTATGTCCCACCAGGTAAGAGACAGGCAGGCAGAGTGGTGAATAGATAATTTTAGGAGAAGGAAAGACATGGACAAAGATCCTTAGGAGGAAGAAAGCTTGGAGTTCTTGAGGGGGCAGAGTGAGATGGGGATGATGGCTGAAAATAATATCGGGGATATGGTCAGAGGTCATATTGTGACAGGCATGTAGGCCACACTATGGACTTCAGGTTTTATGATATTCATTATGAAGCCACTGGATGATTTCAATAATGGGGATGATGATTTAGAGTGGATTGGAGGGTCAAGAGTGAATGAGTAGAGAGAGATTGCTACTGCGATCCAGGTGAGAGAGGATGGTACTTAAAACTAAGATGTCAGCAATGGAGACAGAGAAGTAGAAGGATTCAAGAAATATTTTGAAGGTAAAAGCAACAAAATTTGTTGATAGGTTGGGGTCGGGTAAGAATGATGTGATTTGTGAACATGTCAAAAATGCCTGCTACATTTTTTTTTTTTAACGCCTACAGCACCTGGTCTTCCTAGGTGGTCTCCCAACCAAGTACTAACCAGGCGCAACCCTGCTTAGCTTCTGAGATCAGACGGGATTGGGCTTGTTCAGGGTGGCGTGGCCATAGACTAAAAGAGACTTCAGTGGCTACTCAATAAAGTCAAAATTCATTGTGATATTTAAGGCCTTTCCTTACCTGTCCCCTGCTTACCTGGAGAATCTCATCTCTCAATGCTTTCCTATGTGCAATCTATATTCCATGGTATCGCCTCATTTTCAACTCCAGAATGTGCCATATTTGCTGACAGTTCCACATCTGTACTTCCTTTGCCC